GGGAAAGAGAAGAGTAGAAGGTCCTGTGCAGTCCACCTTACCTGAAAGCTGTTAGATCTATGGTGATGGATACTACAGAAAGCCCTAAAATAGATAGATAGATTAGATAAAACAGGTTAGATGGATAGGGAGCAGTGGATGTAGTAGGTAGAACAAGACTAAGGCTGGGGAGACAGTCTTTTTCCTGATTGATACCTCCTTCCCTGGGCAGTCATTTCTCCCTACATACAAATGGAGAAACTGAGAGGATAGTTTCTCTTCCAGCTTTGTGAAACCTTTTGAGAGAGTCAGATACAGGCATTAAATCCATGCAAAATGCTGTTATTAGTGTTAATGCAAACTTTATGGTATTAGTCTGTTACACTCTCTTTACCATTATATATACAGGAGAAGCAAAAGAACTAAATTAACTTTTCTACAGGAACCGTAGCTTTGGAATTCCCTGGACTCATGTGATCAAGGTGAGTCTATGTCCTTACCATGCACATGCAGAAAGCCTTTCCTCAAGCACTAAAACCTAGCTCTTTCTGGGGCAAACTGCAGCAGCTGCAGAGTGCAGCTGAGGAATACTACACAACAGGAAGTGAGGGATACTATGGGCCAACTGAAACTGCAGGAAGTTTTACAGGAATCCAAAAATAGCTTTGGAAAGTCTCACAGGAATGTTCTGGGATTTCAGGTTCCAAGAACTTACAAAGCTTGTCGCTCTTTCATTATTAAATTCAACAAAACATTCTAATCCAGAGCTGCCCAATGCCAAGCTTCAGCCCTCAAGGGACATTTACTCTGGATCTTTAACTCTTGGCAATGAAAAGTGTAGCTGTCTGATGATTCTGCTCTGGGGCAGCCATGGCAAAAGCTCTACTCCCAAGCGCTGCCTCTGTCTAAGCTGACTTAGTTAGCTTCAGCTGGGCCTTACGCTGGGGTGTAACCAGCCAGAAAACCTCCCCAATGGGGATATACAAGTGGTGAGAGCCCAAGTTCCCAATCTTTTCCTCTTTTGCTCAATGCAGACATGTTTAGGCCCAACACAAGGATTTGGACCTATAGCAACATTTACTGGAATGCAACATGTACCATGCATAAAGACACTCCTTTTCTTCATCTCTATGCCTCTCCCTGCATATCAGAGATGAGGCTGTATCGTTACCTATTTCATTACCTATTTTGTCTCTCCCAGGTAGCTGGGTGCTACACCTTGGAAACCCACCAATCCATTGGACAGTCATTGTCCAGTGTCACAGGAGTTATTTTGCATACCTGGAAGCAGAGGTTTAGTAATGCAGCTCTATGCTCAGGGCAGCTGAGTAGCAGCCGAAGCAGTGCCAGCTCCTTTGACAACACAATCAGCTACTGCTGCAGCAACAGCTGCTTTTATGCCCCTCCATAAAGGTGGTGCCCAGGGCTGCTGCTCCAGTTGCCCCTGCCTTGGTTACACAACTGCCTGGAAGTGTCCTCCTGACCCTGTACAGAGACTGGGTTTGCCAAGAACCTGGGCTTCAGCCTCTTGTCAAGGACCAATGAGGGACTCAGGATGTGACAAAAATGTAAAATGAAGAATATAACAAAATTATTCATGCTGTGGGCTTCCTTCCTATCATTAAAAAAAACAAAAACAAAATAGAACAAAAAAGCCACCGCGACCAACAAGAGTTCACTTGCCTTTGATTCAGTAGCATTTGCTGCAATGTAAATGGCTGTCAACAATAATGGTATGGAAACCCCAAATCTGTGTAAACTGTAGGAAGCCCCAGGGCTAATGTTAGGGACTACCTCTCAAGGAGAACAGAATGCTATTTTGAAACTGAAGCCTGCATTTACAGTCTCATGGTGGCAGCTGGCAGGATATCAGCTGTGTCTAGTTCTGTAAAAGGAGCCCAGCATGGAATGGGCTCTCTCCATCTGGCTACAATGCTGCTTTAAACAAGTGAGGAGGCACATCAGGATGTGCCTGCTCCTGTGGTGCTTGCCAGGCTTTGCAAACATCCACCCTTTCTTTGCTAGTCCCAGCCCCACCCTAAGAGTTGGCTCCTACAAAGTAAAAGCTAGCCGATTCCCAAAAGGAACTCCCTGAACCAGAGCTAAGTTCAGGTGTACAAAGACCCCCAAGAAGGGTGGAAGAGGGTATATGGGCTCTCCTACCCTGAACACATCACACTAGGCCTATAGTACTAGCAGAATTCTCCTCAAGAAGGGAACAAGTAGCAGATCTGAGGAAGAAGCAGTGTCTAAGGAAGGAATGCTGTTGCTTACCTATTAAACATTCATCTCCTTGTTGCCTCCATCCTGGGCAGCACACAGCCCCAGAAAAGCTGAACAGGGAAAAACACAAAGGCTGGTTACCATTCTCATGCTCTTTTGGCCTCACTGCAAACTCCCTCCCCTTCCTGCAGAGAATGGTATTGTACATGTCAGACCACAAGTGTTAGAGAGCCACATGGCTCTGTACACTCATGCCCTGGACAAGCAGAAGTTACAAAATTGTAGTTGAGCAAAACTCCATGACTAACAAGTGTTAGGCAGAGAAGGAAAATACCCTTATGCCTCAGCCCACAGCTGGCCAACTTCAGTACAGCTGAGAGCCACATGCAGCCACAGAACACGACATATTTTTTTTTTTTTTTTTATTACAAAAGTATCAAAATCATCACAAAGCCAAAAACACCAGCTTCTTCACTTACAGGTCAGTACATCAAAAACCCCATTTTCCCTTGTTTCAACAATCTGAACAACATGTCCCCATCGTCACATAAATCCCAAACAGATACTCGTTTACATCATTTTCTTCAAAACAAAACACCAAACACATAAATATACCGTATATCAGTCCTTTTCGCCCTTCTTTTCCCCCGCATCCCTCCTACCCAAACAATTTTCTCCAATCGACATCTTTCCACTCCCCTTCCCCTTTCTTCCGATAGTATTCCAATTCTGCATACGCCAAATACACACATTCCCGCGAAGTAAAATATAACCCCTTTTGCACCAACAGACACCTTGTTTTCCAAATGGCCACCCTTGTACACAACAGTAAGATGACATATGCTACAGGGTCAGGTCCCTGTAATCCACCCCCGCCACGCAGGCAATGCCAGAGACAGTGCACAGCCATTTGAGATCCCCATTGGCCACTTGTGGTCACTTGTTGCTCCCATTTGTGATGAGGAAGCTCATCTACAGGGACTACCACCCACTACAAGCTGGACTGGAGCTACGTTCGACACCAGAATTGCGCCTACAAACTTTCAAGCAACTGCAGCTACTCTACCACATGGTGTTCCTTGCTGGGAACACAGAAGTCCAGCACTTTGGGCTCTACACTGCCTGCCTGGAGACTTCAGAGAGTGGGGTGAGAAAGCACTGGCTCTGAACCCAAAAGCCTGAGTTGTTCATTGCAATGACCAGAGAAATCCTTCTCTCCCTGCCTGACCTTCTACAGCTGTTATCAGGCTAAGATGCAGGGCCAACAGGACCCTGGTTCCAAGAATAGAGCAGCTGGAGGCATAGCATTTCTGATGAGGAGACTGAAATTCAAAGACCCTTTGCCCAGTCTGCGTGATAGGCCAGGGTTAACCACCTTTGGAGTGTGGTAGCAGAACTGTCAGGTATCCAGGTTGTAGCCGTATTGGTCTAGAGAAAAAGGCAATCAGGATTCGTAGTAGAGAAGATATATTTTATTAGACCAACAAGATTTTTGCAAAAAAAAGAAATATTTAATTGCAAGCTTTTAGGCACAAACACCCTTCATCAGGCATTGGAGAAAAGATTGTAGAAGTTTTCCTGCATAGAAATGAAAGTTCATATTTCATAGGATTTCACAGGGGAGTCAATAGATGGAAAACTCCTTTAGGCAGTCAGGTCATACCAGATATTTTTCTGATTTGCAGTACACATTTACTCTGAGCCTCTAATATGGTGTTTTCAAACAGTTTATATTAGGGGTGCACTGATAGAGATTTTGGGGGCTGATACCAATAGCCGATTTTTAAGGAGGTGTATCAGCTGATACCTATCTGATTTCCAATATAGCTGCGTGCAGCTAGTAAGTCTGTTGTGGTAGAAGAGGAGGGGGAGGGGAGGGAAGGGGCGTGGGGTGGTGGGGCAGATAAAACACCCCCATGGTGAGGGAGGTGGCAGGGGCAGAGGCAGGGACAGGGGCAGGGGCTGCCCAGCTG